GTGGGAGGAATTTTTTATTATTGTAACTAGTGTAAATTAGTTCATAGTAATAAAAGGGAACTTTTTCAATGCTGAATAGCATGATTAATTGTAAAAAGAAGTCTCTCATTAATGTAATTAAACCATTTTTTAGTAATATAAAAATTAAGTGTCGCGATTAAGGAGCTGCACAAATGATAAATCATTCATTTCATGTCATGCACTTTAAGGATTTTTTAAAACCAAATGTTTAATATTCATATTTTGTCAACTTTACTTGATAGACTTTTGTGTTAGTTTATTTAAGGTCACAATAAAATGGTAAAAATGAATAAATCATGTTGGAGCTGATTAATTATTTAATTAAGCTGAAGCTATAGTGAACAGTTTAAGAAATAAGTAATTGTGTCAAGGTGATGCTGGGAAGTTAAAACGCATTAAATTACCCGATACCAATACTGTTAATTTGAAAAATAAATATGAAAAACACAAAATGAAATTATCCGTACCCGGTAAATCAAAATATTTCAAAAGTATATGATAAACAAATTCAGTTTAATGTCCATGAAATATGAAGCTGTTTCATCAAACTTGATGGAACTCAGACTCAGAGCATCCTAGAGGAAACTGAGTTTCAGGGGGAAAAATATTTTAGCTCCTCTGAAGGAAATGACAGATATTAAAACTAACGGTGAGTTAATTTTTAGGATATAATTATAAATCTATTTAAAATAAAATATGACCAAGGAGAAAAAAAAGAGCATTTCAAACACCTTAAACTTCAAAGATATGAAAACAAATTAAAATTCTGATCATCTTTTGTTTTTCTTTTTTTTTTTAAATTAGGTGTAACTTAGAAATCCTGCCAGCAAAGAAAAAATCTAAAATGAATGGCAATTCTGTAAGATGAATAGCTTGAAATACCAAAAAAAAAACTGACACAGAAACCTCTAAATAAATTCTACAGGTATTTTGTACCCATATGGCATCGCTCAGTTAATCCAACTTAATTTCAATGTTTCTGAAGAGTCAATACAAAAAGATATCTCCTACAACAAGTCACATAACACAGGAGTAGGTAAACTCCCAAATGACAGAATTGTTTGACATTTGCAAATTATTTATATCACAGCTTTAACAAGAGATGTGGGTTTTATTATTTACTCTGTGCCTGTACTCATGACATCATTCAACACCTCGTTCTCATGGCCTGACACTGATGTAAGAGTCTCCCCAAGTCTGAACACCCGTATGTATCCCTGTCCATCACCTGTTGCCAGAATACGTTTTCTATTCAAAGAGGAAAAAAGAAATCACAGACACTAAAAGTAAAGTCATCAAGTATAGTGACACAAAATCAACTGAATCAAAATGTATCTTACTTTACTTTAACATTGCTAATTCAGTTGAAATATTCGAATGGTAATGTACATCTGTCCTCTCAGTTTTGATCAGTGTCTAAAACAAATTAAACAAAAGCTAGGTAACTTCATGAATTTATGAGGATTTCTCAAAATTTACTATTATTATTATTACTATATGAATTAATTTACAATATTTCCTGCTTGACATTATCAGTAAATTATACAGTTATTTAAAGACATCTTTCAAAGACTACTCACTCTTGTGGGTTGAACTGTAAACTGTAGACAGGCACTTTGTTGGGACTGGCCTCTAGTTTATGTACCGGCACCATCTGGCCACTGCGAAGATCATAGAGCAAAAGGTTTCCTCTCTCTGACACAGCAGCTATAACAGTGGGGCGAGCTGGTGACCACTTGGCTGAGAACAAATACCCATCTCCAGGTTCTATTGTTAAAACTGGCTGCATCTGCAAATAATTAGTAAATGTATTTTTGCTGGCCATAAGAACATCTCGTGTCATATTGACTGAAAATAGTGCAGTGTTATTTAATTTAACTTCTTACAATCATTTCAATGGTTTTGAACCAAATTGTCTCCAAGGACATTGTCTCTACATACAGATTAGCACTTTACACTGAAAGATTGTTTGTTTAGTTCATAATCTTATCTTTTCGTGGACAGCAGGTAAATGGAGTCAGAAACGTAATTCTAACTTTTCAGGTTAGTGAATAACCTATATCTATGACTGCAGTCATTCATATGTTGAGTTTCATCATTTCCTTATACAAAAATGAACAAAAAGTTACCTGCAGCATGTTATACAGACGTAGGCTTTGATCCATGCCTGCACTTAAAAAAGCATTTCTGTGAAATCTTGAACAGTCAACTGAGTGAACTGGCCCATGGTGAGGACTGAAGGTGAAGGTCACAGGTGAGCATAATGGTACAGAGGATATAATGTGACCTGGAGTGATAATAAAAAGTTATTTCTACATTCCCTGCACTAATTTCAATTTATTTTACATTAAAAAATGAATAAATATCAAATAGATTCTTTTTTTTTACAGCAAACATAGTGAAGAATAAATGATTTGAAGGACTAACATTACTAAAAGAATGGATAAAATCATTTTACACTTTAAAAAAATCAGTATTGTCTCAAAAAGTGATGAGTATTTGATGGCAATAAACACTATAAAAAAAGAAGTTATATGTTATTTATAGATGGTCTGTCTCACTTCCAGCAGGTCTGCCTTTAGCATGCAAGTTACACTTGAACAAGCATCCGCTCTCTGAACCTAACACAAATAAATCAGGATCTTCATGGCTGAATGAGATACTTGTCACTCCAACTTCTTTATCTCCCCTGACTCCTCTGACCTTCATATTTCTCGGTAAATCTTGAGACATCAAAACAAAACTAGAGATCATTCAAAAAAAAAAAAAAAAAAAAAAAAAAAAAAGAACCAGAAACAAATCAAGAACCAGGGGAATGTCACATTAAAATAATTTTTTTTTTTTTAAATCTTAAGATTGAATGCAATTTCAAACAAGGCAAAAAAAATTAATTGCGCTTGAAATGCAAATTTATAGCAGTGAAGGTTAATGGATACCGGTACTAAATAATTAAAAGGACAGAAGCAAAGTTTCGTTTTTAAAAACTTGCAACAATTTTAAAAAAACAAGTTACCCCTTATGTAGCCTTAGTTTTCCTTTTTTCAAATCTACTTTCCAGATTAGAACTTTTCCATCACCACTCACACTAACAATCTGTGAGACAATTTATAAATGACTTAAAACAATGGAGATAAGTTGTTTGTGATAAGATACAAGAGGAAAGAAAAGACCCAACAAAAATGATGCAGAGGATTTAGAATTGTGATCATGTGCAGCTCTGTAGTATAATTTTATAAATACAATTTTTATACACATCATTATTTCATTAAAATAAATTAACCACACAAATGAAAAAAATAATACCGGTATTGGCTTACTGGTGTTGAAATAATTTAGGGTAACTGCAAACTGGTACTTAACATTTAATTTACTTAAATCATTTTTAAGAGAAATTATTGGCAACAGGGATTAACTATTGGGCCAGATGTCATGCTCATACTAAACTTACATTATAGTCTTGCTTTTTTGAAGACTGACCCTTGACCCAATGAACTTTAGAAACAGGCTCCCTATGTGCATCATCACCAATCCCTGAAGTTGCCACAATGAGGTCATCTTCCTGACTTAAGTCCCATAAAATAACCTCACCTACATTTGAAATATGTTAAAATTTCTACATTTCTTGTAAGGTATAATTTTTTTTTTTTTAAATTATAAATTTTGGATACTGGTATTGAATAAGTTAAAAGAAAATCATTTTGAATGGAATATAAATTTAAATATTATAGAACAGTTTCATCCACAACAATGGCCGAATGTGAAAAACATTTTAATAAGAGACATCACCAAAGACATATGTTAAAAAATAGCAAACTACAGTTTCTATACAATAATTTATAACTCACTTTGAATTAGTTTTGTTGTTTTGTATTTCATCATGTACATTAAAAATGGATAAATAGCTCTAAACAGTATTTGGTGGGTGTTTATTTTGATATTTTAACATTAGGTTTAATTACATGCGGCTGCATAAGGTTTACTCTCTATCAAAGTTGCCCGTCAAGCCTTCTGGGTTGGCCACCCCGTGCTTTAACTCATAATTACCGTTAAAATTCCCCCCGGCTAACCAAGCAGGGTTGATGGGATGAAAGTCCAAACACATGAGACAACAAGGGGAATCAATCACTGTGTCCGGTTTGTCCTCTTTGATTGAACGTCTATCAAGGTTCCAGGTGCACAGTGCTGCTCTATGTGTGCACCAGTCCTCATGGTCAAATCTTCCAAATGTAGGCACGTTAAGATAAATGTAGGTTACATTCTGATTTTTTGTTTGATGAATGGCTTGAAAACGTCTTTAAAAATTAATTCTATTTCCAAACAAGTTTACATTTGAGTTTACTGTTAATATAACATTCATCATAAAGTACACATCAAAAAATTTCACAGCGATAATTTGTTCTTGAAGAGGTTGACTAATAAGTGGAACTGCACAACATCTTTCATGATATGCACAATTTTGTATTCCACGAGTTCAATTTTCATTCAAAGTCACATCTCTAGTAGTAAACAATTCATATCATAAGTGTGTCTGTAAGACATAGGATATTATGTTTGACAGGATATAGTGACTTAAACAGATGGATGCATCAGTTAGTTTAGTAGTTTAGACTATACATTACTACAAGTTTAACTAAGCTAATACTAAAATAGCCTCTAAAAATTTGGAATTTTAATTTAATGACTTATTAATCAAGTTAAAAAGGATATGAAGCAGCCAGTGTTGACCCAGTGGCATTCCAAGACAGCCCTGTTACCTGAAGCTGAAAAGAAGAGACAAAAAAATAGATTGATATTTTTAATAATTCAAGACTTGAACAAGACTTATTAGCTGTTATTATAGGTTTAAAAATGTTATTATTATTCATACAGATAATTGAAATTAAAATTCCTGGGTGCTCCAAGCAATAAGTACCGGTAAATAATGCTTTACAGACATTCAGTCAGGACATTTCACAGCATTATTGGTTTTAGTACACATAAAGTAATCCAACTTAAAATTTACTGTAAAGCAAAATATTACAACTAAAACATCTATTAATGTATCTGCAATCGTTTTATACTTTGCACAATATTTAAACAAAAACTAGACTTGCTAGTCTAGAAATGCATCCTTAGAAATCTCAGAAAACCAATATTTTACTAAATCATGCTCAAGAAAATATCAACATTTTTTTATTTTATTTTAAATATAAATGACTTTTTAAAAATGTGTTATTATTTTATTCAAACACTCTATTTCCTGTATTTTTTTAAGTGCAAAGCTATATTGTGCTGGATGACCTTTCAAAGTTATTATTTCAAACCATTTCTCTTACTAGCAAGAGCTTTTGTGGTATAATTTATATATGAGTGACTGCATTCAAGCCATGTAAAGTAAATAAATAGTGGAACAAGATATGTTTAGACTTGAAAATAAGACAAGACAATTGAGCAGATGTTTTGGCTAGAACAAGATGCCTCTGTCAGCATACATTACAATATAATAAACAACAGATAAATTTAAATAAAAAAATAAAACTTATGTTTTCGAAGATCTCAAAAAAGTTATGTAGATCAATGTACAGAAAAGGAAACGCTCACTATTTCTTTTGTTGTATGGGTATTTATTTTAATTTAAAATGTAGGCTTTTAAGCCCTCTCATGAGCCATAACAATATCATTAGTTCTTTCAATTCTATTTGATGGAGGGTTGCTTTGTAAATTATTAACTGGTAACTTGTCAGTAGGTGGCTTATATCCACAAGTAGCAGATCCCATTTAAAATACTACTGATCATTTAAATTTTAGCGTTAAGACATTGTTTTTTTTTCTGTAGTTTCTTCAATAATTTACAGCCAAAAATGTAATAATTGATTCTTTGTTTCTTCAGATTATTGAACTTTTCAAACTTATACTTTAGTCCCTTCTCAAAACACTTCAACAGAAGTGACCACAAGGGCTCTAGTGACTTGGCCATCACTGCCATTGTTTCCTGTACCAACCTGCCCTCTAGGGTGAACTTAGAGAACAAACTGGTAAACACTGATGGCACCTTGACACCACATGGCATGAATGTCATGTTCTCCTTCACTTGTTAAATCTTTTCTCCAGCCCCTCCTTTTTACAACCAATCCCAGTGGGCTTACTTTGCCTCTCTTTCTTCCCCTGTTACCTATATTAACTCTCTTACCTACTTGTGGTCTATTACATTCCTCTTGTTGTCCTCTAGAGACCGACCAAAAGTGATTTTCTGATTTCAGCTAAAACCGAAACCAGACCAAAAGAAAAAAATTCCTTTCTACCAAAAGCTTAACAAAACTTTCGGCCAAAATCGAAACTAAAAGCTTATGCGACTTTCCGCTTAAGCCGAAGATTAAATATTTTGAAACTCATTCATACATACATTCTGTGTAAATTGAAAAATGATGGAGGAAGTATCAATATTTACATTCTTTTTATCAAAAATAAAAAAAGTTTATCATGAAATTTAATAGATTAACATCTAATGAATACTTTGACTTGTACAATCTCAAAATCGTACAATACCGAATTGTTATAGTAAATAAATAACCATACACTATTATTTATACAATTACTATTCACATCACATGTCAAATTAAGGTCACTTCCCAAAGTAGAAATCTGACACATATATATATATTTATGGACAGTGCACTGGTGCATACAAAAGGTGCCCATCATTTGCCACTATAATATATGAAGATGTGTTGGGGAGTGGAAATTGCGGACGCCGGCTGAAGTCATCAGATGAAAAGTGGGGGTGGAGTTTTAGAGGACGTGCCCCTTCCCAGAAATTAAGTTAGAAATTCAAAATCCACGGGTGCACTTTTGCGTACGCCTGAATATATGAATATAATTTTGAATTATGCTACATTTAATAGTATGGTTGTGAAAAAAATGAGGTACCCCTCACCGAGCTGTGTTTATATAAATCCTTTTTTTATTTTAGTAGTTACTAAATAGTAAAATTGTTTAATAATGTATTACTTATTTCAATCTGTTTTTTAATCAGTCTAAAAAGGGGCGGATATACCAAAATGGCGCATACCATCACAAAAGTGATGTATTGGCCTATATATTTCAAATGTTGCATTATGCCAAAAATGAAAATAATTGCTGATTGAAAGAAGGAATAAATTCATTTGTGATACATCCAGCGAGCCACAATATTTTACGTGACAGGCTGCAAATGGCCCACCCTTGCCTTAAGCCTAAGAGCCTGATTTTATTTCCTATTATAGTATTTTAGTTTAAATATTACAGCAAGCTGTATTGGGAGAAGATGAGGGCTGGGGTATTAAAAGTGTGCAGCTGCTTAATGACTTCTAGAAATAGATATCAAATGATGCTTATTAGATCTTAGAGAATATGTCAGAAATCTAACATTGCTGTGTGAAGCAGTTGAGAATGCATTTTAAAAAATTATGTAGTCTTGAAAAAGGAGTGCTAATTTAATGCTGATGATAAGATTAAAATCATCCATGCAATGTGCACGTCCGTAAATGTAGCCAAATTTAAATACTAAAGTTGATTTTGCAATGTGACATCCATATATAACATACGCAAAAAAGCAACATATTTTAATACCCCCCTTCCATAATAAAATATATTTCTTATATGAGGATGTGTATGGCAGTGTGGGGGGCAGGGTCACCAGAATGTACCTACATTTATGCATAAATTCTACTAAAATAACCCTGACAGTCTCTGATCGAGCCAACTGTCACCTAAAAATCTGTTAAATCCATGATTTCTTATTAGGCCTTCTTACAGCTATAAAAATATCACCACCATTTTTTGCGTTATCATCATACTACTAATGCTTTTTTTTATAAAAAAGCTGGCTAGATATAGCTGTAGGAGTATTTAGCCTAGGGACAACCCGTGCAGGTGACGTAATTATTTCATTCACCAAGCAACCTCGTCCTTGTGGGGGAAAAATATTTTTTAACCCGGTCTCTAAAAACTGTCTTTTTTTACCAAAACCGAAACTATGCCAAAAGTGATCAAATGGCAACTTTCTGTGCCCAAACCAAAGCGGAAATTTGGTCTGTCTCTACTGGCCTCTAGGATCCATAATTTCAGCTAAGTGTTTATTTTTAATTTGTATATAATTGTTACTTGTTGTTTGTTCGCTAAAGAAGGCTTCTTGCTGACTTGTTCATTGTTTTGTTGCATCTTTTTTTTCAGTTTTTCCCATACCTTATTTCACATGTTTACACTTAATATCCCATTTTAAATAACTTTTTGATACAGACAATTTTCATAGAAAATGATATTCTCCTTATTAAGATTAAGATGGTACCAGAATGAGCTGGGCTTTTGTTAAATTATACATTAATATCCATTCTACAGAATTTGATATAGAGATGGCTTAATGGATTCCAAAAACATTTACCTGTTCATTTAGATCAGCATTGCAAAGGGTGTGGACACATGTGACAGCTTCAGACAGTTTTTCATTAGGATCCCGAATACCTTGGATTTAGTTTCAAAAAAATTTAAGAAGAAAAATTTTACATGAATAAAAGCTTATAAGAGTTAAATTGCACAGTAAGGCTAAGATTGTTTTTTTTTTTTAAACAGATAAAAAATCTAAAAATTCATTAAACTATGTTTTTAAACCCTATTTTTGTTGTTGTTGCAAATTATATATACATGATGAAGTTGGTTTATATGAAAGGTTGTTAAGGAAAGAACAAAATAGTATAAAATGTTAAGTTTAATACATAATCTATAAAATATAACTAAAACAATTTTTTTTTAAACATTAAAATAAACCGTAAAAAACTACCATCAAATGCTCTGCTTTTTAAATTTTTCTCAAGGCACTTTGTTACCACTGGTTCAACTTTATGGAGAAAGACAGCTAAATTTTGGTTATTTGTGTTAACAAGCAACATAGAGCTGAAGTCCCCATTGAGATCAGTTTGCACCTGCATTAAACAAAAATATTCCATGGTTGCAAAAAAGACCTTAAATCCTAATTATTTTAATAAACATGTCAAGTACTTGCTGTATGTAAGGTAGAAATCCTAATTATTTTAATAAACATGTCAAGTACTTGCTGTATGTAAGGTAGACAACCATATCTTTTTTCATACAAGTACAAGGTAATATCTACTTATTTATTTTTAAACAGATCAGATTTATTAAAGAAGATCAAATTAGTCTTAAATAATGTCATAACTTTGTAAAGATGTCACGCTTGGTTAAAATATGATGTAATCAAAATTTTGTAAATATTCACTGTTAGTGTCTACAAGATAAGAAAAGTGAACATTGTGTTTTCTACCGCTTGATTTAAAGTATCATAGGATTGCACATCAACACTGTCAGTACGTATTTCTCTAGTTTGACTTTCTGCTGAGGTAACTGATCTGAAACAGAAAAGGTAAGATAATTCAACCTTAAAGAAAAACTAATGTACAAACAAAAATGAGTTGCCATTGTACCGATTGTAGGCAGTGATTTACTGACAGCAATAAATTTTATATTTATAGTCTAGCTTTGGTCCCATTCTTTTAAATGCCAAAGATAGAAACCACAAATTTTAAAAAAGTGCCTATTATCTTCAATATTTACATGAGACATGGAGTAAAGAGGGACCATGCAGTACGATAAGTCCATTTTAATATAAACGATATTATATGAGGGACTGCATTCAAGCCATGTAAAGAAAATTAACAGATGACACCAATCACCAGAGTGTGGAGGGGGTTATCACATTGTTCAGGTGAGGAACTTTGTTTAAATATTTCAGATTTAGAGTATAGTTAGTCTTGTAAGAATTATAGTAAGTTATGTAACACCTTTACTTTCTAGCACACAGGTTCTCAGCCTATTTTGAGTTACGTCCCCATTTTAAAAGCAAAGTAACCCATGATCCTGTTACATTTAAAAACATTTTTAATATGCTAATAGGGTCAATAAAAATACATTGGAAAAAGATTTTTCAGTAAGATAAAATTCAAAATAAGTTTATACCTAATAAATAATGCAATAATTAAAATCACATCTTATTTATTCAGGCCACAAAATTTGTTTTTGACAAAAGTATTGACTGAGTTTTTTTTCACGCCTGCCTCATGAAGTTATCAATATTTAATATGTGTTTCTTGTATTGGATTTCAAATGAAAAAAAACAATGAAAATCTACTCTCACAGAGATAAGGAATAGCAAATCATAATAATAATGGTATAATAGACGAATTAGGTGCCTATACTATGAAAATGATATTAATTAAACGTTTATTTAAGTCTTTAATCTTTAGTTACTGTTTGAGTTTCATATGGCAACCCCTGCCCTAAGAAAATGAATGGTTGGTTGTTCCAACATCAACTGTCAACACCTTTTTAAATTTTGTGTTATTTTTTGTTGTTGAAGTCTTTGTGACACCTAAAAAATAATAAAAATATGGCCTATGTCTATGTGTTATGGCATCATTTGTAGGTCTTGCCGAGCTCTCTTAGAGCGCGTTTAAGACAGACAGTGATTGATTTAAGTTGAAGAGTGTCTAACTCTTAGTTAGTACTCTTACTCTCAGTAAGTTAGTTCTACTTCATTGGCGGAGTACTTTTTTTGAGATTGAGTCAATCCAATCTGACTTGGACATAACTTACAGTTCTCTTTTCCAAGTGGATTTAAATTCAACTGGTTCTAATGATTCATCTGTAAATCCGTGCGGCATTTTAAAAACTATTTTTAGCAATTGAAAATCACTCTGATGTACTTTTATTGAGGTTTAGTAGAGCAATTCGTATGAGTGATTTCATAATAATATGGAAATGGTCTGGTTGCTCTTGTAAACAATTTGTAATTCATAAGCCCGCATAAACTATGGTTCCGGTGGAAACCCCCTTACCAGATTCGTGTTCTAAAGTAAAATTTCAGCAATGTTTAAACGTTATTAACATAGCAGTTTTTTTTTTTTAATTTAAGAAAAAATATAAACAATTTTAGATAAAACAGATTTTTCTGACGACCCCTTCATTAAAACTGCGATCCCGTTATGTTGTCAAAATGGACGGGGCACAAGCACGCGTGGAACAAGCAATCTCTAAAATGGTTAATAGCTTGGACACAGAGTGTCTTAGAAGGATGCAGGTACGAATTATAATTATAGTGTTACTCTATGTTCTGGCCGTTCATGGATTTATTTGATACATAGAAATATCTGGAAATTTTTGTCGATTCTGATAAGGCCGGGTACGGTACTGGCAAATTCTGAAAGTCACATTCAAAATCAATTCCTTGGAGTTTTGCATCATTTGCGCAAATGCACAAACTATTGTCAAGTACGGTATTGACTGTTGCTTATTTTAAGTTAGTTGTTGGTATCCCTTAATTCCGAGAGTTCAATCTATAACATTCTTAATACTTTTAAGTTCTATTTTTATCTAGGTACCGGTAACTAAATGAACTACAAACATTTCAAATTTACTGCTAATTTTAGTTAATTTACATTTTAAAAATTGAATTTGGTTGGTGGAATCTTAGTCTTAATAAGTAAATAAGAAGGCCTACTCTAAAATACCAATAAAAAATAGCTTTATAAACTTAATTCTTATTTTATTACAGTTACAAACACCATGTCACATGTCTTGAACACTACTCTGGTAATTTTTAATAATTAGGGACTTCGGTATGATCCGGGAAGTGCCGAAAACCGGGTATCGTGATTTCGTTGTCAAAATGGCGACCTCCACTTTTTAATTTACCGAGGGTTGTGTTGTTTAAGATTTTTTTTGCTAAAGTTAGTTTTGTTATTAAATTCTATTTCTGCCCTCAACTTAAAGCAGACATGTTTGTTGTTCATGTGACACTTTTCTTTAAGAAAAAATTTGACAGTTTGACATTGAAAATTAATGGTAAATAATAGCTAATTTGACTCTTTCATAATTTTTTTTTGGAAAATATAAGTTTAAAAAGAGAAAATACCAATGTTAGATGTAGGCATAAATGACAACATATCCAAAATTCGTGAGGTTAGGACCCCGCCATGGGTGAGAAATTTGTGTGCAAAATTTTTGTCACATGTGTCCCAAAATTACCTATTATCGATAATGGACGTTTT